CAGTACCAGGAACCGAACTCACGACCTTGCGCTTGCCAGGCAGGCGCTTTTGCCGCTGAGCTAAATCCCCAGCCCGTGTAACTCTTCTTAATTACCCAACTTTCTGCCCAAATGTCATCTCAGACGTTCACCCTTATCCCTGTGTCTCCCCTTTTCCTTCCCCTACTGTATCTTCCTTCAGAACACTTGGCATTTCCTACCATTAGAATCCACCCCATATGAGGGGACAGCTTGATCTGCTATTCAAAGCTCAGAACAAGGCTTAGAAAACAGCTCATAGCAGATCTCAATAAATAGTGTGGAAAAAACCAGTGAACAATTCAAAAAATACACAGATCATTTCTTTCTTGCTTAGAAGACTTCAAAGATTAAAACTAACTTTCTGAGTCTCTGATTTTCTGCAAGAAAACCATCCATGAAAAATCAATTCATTAAAAATATATAAAAATATTGCATTAAGCAGTTACCTTATCTTTGAGAAATTTTCTGATGTTTCGGTGGGCTCGGGAACATTCTGTTAATAAGCTGAGAACTGGAGTTAGACCCTCTCTATAGCTGCTTCCCTATAAAGAAAATCATACAGCTAGATTAACTTCTAATAGTATTACTTTTCTCCCTTAATTTGAACACAAGAATACTTGGGGAGAGATACCAAAGCTTATAAACTGTGTGAGAAATTATTTTCCTTCCATTTAATCAGTTATCTTCATGTTTTTGACCTTTCTAGATTTTCCTCCATTTTCGAGGGTCCCCCTGGCTCAGCCAGTGAGTGGGCTTACAGGAGGCAAAGGTTCTGATGGACCACTTATGCTGCTCTGCTGCCTTTTAATACAGCGTCACCCACTTTGATAAAGTCAGTGACTGACCAGGGAAAATAAACAAACAGCTCACAAGCAGAAAACTGAAAAAAATTTTTTGAAGATGTCTTTTAAAGATATTATAGAAAGTATCAAGTTTTTGGAGGAAAATTATTACTTCTAGGATATACAAATTACCAATGGAATAATAATTATTATTTTCAGGCACTGGTAACAAATTTGAATTTCATGAACACCATTTTCATCATTAAACAAATTCACTTTCAGCAATATCATATACTACAGTAAAATGCTTTCCAAAGAAAAATATGTAACATTCCAGCTATTAACAAAGCTTAGATTTAGAAATCATGCTCTGTGGTCTGTCTTTGTGTACGTGGCACATTTACATCCCTTAGAAACGTCTTCGGAGCTTCAGTTTTAAAAGCCTTACCTTGTCTATTCTCTTCTCCATAAAACTGAGTAAAACATGAATGGCCTCCATGTTCATACCATTGTACACCACAGCACTGTTTTTCAAAACTGTTTCTTTCTCAGCTGCTTTATCGCTGGGCAGTTCATCTAGAGTTGTCGCTTCTTGGGCTGTTTCTTCATGGGTTAGTGGACAAATGAGAACATCCAAACAAGAGACCGGAACATTGCTTAAAAGGTTGACTGCATTGCTGAAAAGCAATTTAACAGTACAATATTTCATGTTAATTGTGCAGTCTTTTAATATGCAAACATAGTAAGTTCAGAAGTGACTTTTAGGAGTCAATTAAAATGTTTCTTTTTCAAAATGAGCTATTAATATTTACTTGTCACTTACTAAGAGACAGAAAATAAAGAACTGTCTCAAACACACATATGACACATTCAAAAGAACAGATGTTAAGTGGACAGACGCGATCACATGAAGTCATTTTACTTCATGAGATGCTAAAACAGGAATGAGTGACGTCTGATGCCAGTCTTTCATTTTATTACAACAACCCTAGCTCTGCATTTTCTTTGGGAGTTTAAATCCTTTTGTGGGTCCACTGGTGTTTTATTATTCCTTGGATTACAACGTAAAGCTCTGAGAAGCAATGTATGTAAGCAGCTTATCACAGGGGCAACAACAACCTCAACCAAACATTGTAGGATTAAGTTTTGTTCTTTCTAGATGTACAAAATACAATTTTTACATCTTCCCAGTTTTTGTAAGACTCTGGCAGGAAAAGAGAAATTGTGCCTTTTCTCCACCCCCTCACCGTCAGTTCTCTGTCCCCAGGGCCTTCTTCTGGGTGTTAGGAGCCCAGGAGCCCGGGATACACACCAGCAGGGGGAACCCACGCCTAGTAGTTTCGGCATTCCCGCAAAATCCTGTCCTATTGCTCAGTGTACAAAAGATTAAAATGACACTAACAATTTCAAAATTAGAGACGTTCTCAATGGGCCTGTTTCCCCCATGCATTATTTCCTATTTTCATCTAAAGGAGAAGCAGTGTTCTGTGCTAACTAGATTTGAACTGCTGCGCCTCCAAACTTCCTGATAAACAATGGAAAGACAGGCATTCCATTTCCTAGTGAGAGAGAAGCATATCTAAAAATAACCACATCCCGACTAAAAATAAACTCTTCCAAACACAGTTGAAAAGTAAAATCACTTGGAAACCAAATTCAGGGCTTAACTCATCTGTCTTAATTTAGACTACAGTAGTCTAACATTTAATTTAGATTATAGTGACACCCTAAAAAATAAAACAAATAAAAAAACCATAAAAATAAAAATAAAGTTTTTCTCTCCTTTACCCTGAAATGTAGCTCTGTTTCTTCAAGAATCAACACTCCCTTTGTTGTTATACTACAGGAGAATAAAGAACTGGTGTATCTACTTCAGAATTAGACAATCAGAGCAATGTGTGGTAATACAGAGGGCATGAGAAACAAAAAATGTCACAAGACTTATGAATAAATGGTTTTTGGTAAAATTTCAGTTGTTTGAAGTCTACCACTGCTGCTGCTAAGTCTACTACTGTTCCGGTCTCGAATATTGGTTATGTATAATAACCAAACGCATCTGGAAATACAATGCTTTTCTCACTAGCTTTCTTTTTACATTTTTTTTGTTAGTAGTTCCTTTTGCTTTGTAGTTCCTTAGTTATAGTTTAAAATGACTTGCTTCTGACTTAAACATTTGGGAATTATTACTAAATACCATGGATTCACTGGTAGAGAAAAAAGAGGGCGAGAAAAAAAAACCCAGAACACTCTACCTAGGAATTACTTGCTAAAACTACACAAGTCATCCTGAAATATTAGGATTTTTTTCCCCCAAATATAAAACAGAGTGGAGTTTATCACAGGGTGATTCTTTAAATCTACCACTGAGACCAAACTGAAAAGTTTAAGATGGGTCATTTTATTACAAAGGAATGTTTCCTCTTTAAATTCACCTAAAGTAGTTTCTAGGAATTTAGTAAATTTAGGAAACCAAATGTAGGGCTGGAATCAACAAATATTTGGAGGTTTCAGGCTTTTCAAGAAAGTTCCCATTTTCTCACTTCTTATTAAACAGCTGGGTCCCCAAACAATTTTCTGGCTCGCTGTGTTTGAGCTATTCTTTTTAAGTAAGGAAGGCCTGCTTCTGAGCTCTGTCACTTCTCTGACAGTTTTATTTGTGGTGGAAGAGTGTATGAAATTCTCCAGCTACCAGGAAGTCAGTGACTATGCACAGATTTGCACAATAGTGTTTGCATTCCTACTCCAGGGGGTAGAAATGCTGTGTATATTACTCTCTCCTTTTCACTTCCTACAGATCATTAATCACTGGGACCTGACATCCCCTTGCTCTTGCTCCCAGCCCCCTCCTGATATGCAGATTCAAAAGCAAGACCTACTTAGAGTTCTTTAATGCCCTTAAAGCCTTGTTAGTTAGGGAGAGAGAAGGCCATCTAAAATCTGCTCTTCTACCAACTGCTGAGCTAAACATAATTTAAAACCAGATGACACGGAAGAGCATGCTAATAGCACATGCAGACCATAGCTGTTAACAAATCTTTCTGGTCTTTTTCATATTTGGGACTTACAAGATCTTTCTCCAAAACTGGGAAGTCTACTGCAATAAATCTTAAGATCTGCAGAAATTTCCCTTTTGTTTTATTTAAAAAGATGTTTTTAAAAATATTTTTTTTTCTTTCGTGGTAAAAGAACTTGTAAGACCTACCACCTCAGCAAATTTTAAGTAAATACGGCACCACTAACTGCATGCGTGTTGAACAGCACATCTGGAGCACGTTTCATCTTGCACAAACGAAACTCCGTATCCTTTGACTGATGCCTTCTTCACCCCACCTGCCCTGCTCTCGGCCCTGGGCAACCACTGCGTACTGTCACTGCGTCTCACTACGTCGACTCCTCATACAAGTGGGGTCATGCAGTATTTGCCTCTGTATCAGGTCTGCTGCCTTTATTGTTGTGTCCTCCATATCCACCTAAATTGTTGAGAATGACAGGATCTCCTGCTTTTTAAAGGCTGAATACTACTCTGTGTGTGTGTGTGCGCGCGCGCGCGCGTGTAAATTCTGTGTGGGATCTTCTTCTCTATTCATCTGTTGGTAGACATTCAGGCTGTTTCTATCTCCTGGCTATTGTGCATACTGATACAATGAACATGGGAAAGCAGTTATCTTTGCAAGACAGTCATTTTACTTTGTTTGGGTCTACCGGGAAGAGGTGCTAGATCCAACGGCAACTGTATTTTAATCTGCTGTGTTCCATACTGGCTCTGCTCATATACTAACAGTGTCCAGTGACTCCTTTTTCTCCACATTGTCACCAGTACTTTCCTTTTCGGTTTTTATTTTTATTTTTTTTTTTTATTTTGAAGAATAAAAGAAGGATAACATAATAATAGGGGGGACTTAGCAAATTACAGACAAAATGGTAGGAAATTATCAATGGTTATCGTTTTACGTATTATTATCTACAAAATAGTTTCTCAGGAAAACAAATAGACAAATAATAGTGAGTTAGAGACAAAAGAGGTAGGAGATTATCAAGAGTTGTGCTATACTTTGGTATCTTCAAAGTGGCTTCTAAAGAAAATAAATAGAGCTATACATGAGTGACCTATTGAAAAATCATTATTCTCAATGGTTGTTGTAGGAAACACATAATAGTAAACATACATTATGAAATAGGATAGGAACATTACAAACTTAACACAGTTATGGATAGATTAGTAGGAAAATATCAATGGCTGCTGTAATACGTGGTGGTATCTTCAAAGTCGGTTTTTATTTTTGATAAAGACCATCAGCACAGACGAGACATGCTATCTTACTGTGATTCTGATTCACACTTCCTTGGAGATCAGTAGCACCAAGCATATTTTCCACACATCTGCCAGCCACTTAATCTCTTTGGAGGAATGTCTGCTCAGTTCTACCCATTTTTAAACTGGATGTTTTTTCTTGGGCGACTAAGACTGTCTCACACGTGTGTGGATGGTAACCCCTTCCCAGATAAGTGGTTTGTAAATGCTCCCCCCACTTCACAAGCTGTCTTTTTACCCTGTTTAGTTTCCTATGCCGTGCAGCTTTTCGGTTTGATGTATTCCTACCTATCTGGTTTTGCTTTTGTTGTCTATGCTTTTAGTCCGCATTCAGCGAGTCACTGCTAAGACCAAGGTCTACAAATTTTTCCTGAAGTATTCTTTTAAGAGTTTTATTGTTTTCAGGTTTTACTTTTAGGTCTTTAACCCATTTTGAGTTCACTTTTGTGCACGGTGTAAGGCAAAGGTCCAACTTCTTGTGCATGTGGAGATCCAGTTTTCCCAAGGCTATTTATTGGATTATGCTTTCCCTACTGCGTGTTCTTGGCACACCTGCTGAAGTGCAACTGACCGTCTACGTGTGGGTTTACTTCTTGGTTCTCTATTGTTTCACTGGTCTATGTCTGGTTTTAGGCAATTATAGAATTTTGATTACGGTACCTTTGTAATATATTCTGGGATCACATAGTATAAAATCTCTAGTACTGCTCTTGTTCAAAATTGCTTTCATTGTTTAGTCTTCTGTGGTTTTCCTCAAGGGAGAAAGGATGCATAGGTGGAAGGAAGGAAGGAAGGAATGGAGGGAGGAAGGGAACTGTGAGTAAGCAGAAGGCAGGCAGGCAAAGGCGACTGTATTCCAACTACTCTGCCCTCCCTTTTCTTCTTTATGATAAGAAAGCTTACTGGTGACACTGAACTTTGTGCTGGCAAAGTACTGGCAGCAGAGGCAGAGGCCTGGTTATGGTGGGGTGAGGAATAAACAAGCGTGAGCCCATGGAAATACTAAGTACAAACTGCAGCAGGCTGGGCTGCACGCAATAGCACAGGCATATTACATGATCCTTGGCGCTGTGGGAAGAAGAATGTAAGTCGTAACTTTAAAACACGTTTATTCAAGAAGTTGCAAAAAGTTAAGCTTCACGTATTAGTAAATACACTGAGCTGCTCCCCACTCACGAACACAGGCAAAGCATCGTGAGGGGAGGAGAGCTGCAATCTCACACCACAGAAGCGGTAGCAGTGACTTTGTCCCTGGTCATGCATTTGTTTCCTTCTCTGGTCACGTTACAGTTTGTACATGCTCAGTGAAGTGGTTTCTTTATTCAGCTTTTTATTTTTCTATTCCATATGGTGCTGGAGATCAAA